AAAAAAAAAAAAAAAAAAAAAAAGAAAAGGACAATCATCACCCCAGCATCTCTGCCACTAAATGTACAGAAACATCTGCGGCCTAGGTGGTCATCATCATCAGTGGATGTAGTCAGCATTGTACTGTATGTAATTCGTTAGAAGCACTGTTTCATGCGATGAATTCACACACATTTCATGGAAAAGACAGGTCTCATACCGTACACGAATGTACAGAAATATCTGGATTCTGGACTAGGCCCGTCATCATCACCATTTACCATTATCATTTTATCATTTTAATATGATTTTATTTTATATTTTTTAATATCATTATCAATTTATCACATTATCATCATTATCAATTAAAAAAAAAAATCACTCTCACAATTTTCATTATCATTATCATTATCATTATCATTATCATTATCATTATTAAAAGGGCCTTTACCCGATTCAGACCCTAAATGACGAACGCAGCATTCTGGGGTCACTTGGCCAGAGCCTAACTCGTGAAAAGGAGAAAAGGTTAACCGACCCCCCATTTTTCACCTCAATTTATAAGAAAACCATAAGGTCATCCCAAGAAAACTTCACACCAATCTATAGAGTGCACTTCTTACTAACATATTAAAAAATTAAAAAATAAAAAAAAAATAAAAAAAAAACATAAACACAGCAACTCAAAAGTGCATTTTCAGGCAATTTTGCCATAAAACAACTTCATCATCGTTACCCAGGGCCGAAAAGTGGGGGTCCCCGTTAACCACTTGTGGTGAAAAGCGGATTGAATGACATGTTCTCTGGGTCAAAAGTCACATCCTAACTAAGTGAAGAGTTGTGTCAAAAGGTCACAGTCGTGCCCCAGGACGAACAGTTGCAACATTCAATTGTGGGGACCACATCTGTTCATCCAGGGGGTGTGCAAGTCATGTCTGTTCGTGCAGGAGATGTGTCTGTTCGGGGGCAGTAAATGTGTCTGTTCGTGCAGTAGATGTGTCTGTTCATAAAGAAGCCAAAGAGATAAGATCCCAGTCTAGAACCAAGTCAAAGAGGGAGACTAGATGCAGTCGGGAAGTCCGAAATTCAGGCCTAAGGGCCGCCGCAGCAGCAGACCCTGAGGGAAAGGTACTTGGACACATTCTGCAGTGGTCTGGGACTGGGAAGAGGTCCAAGGAAGGCTGATTCAGACGTCGCGAAGGGAGGCCATCACTATAAAAGACTAGGCCAGCCTCCCTACACGACAGATTCTCCGCTAGCATTGATGCGTGGAAGTGCTGCGGCACTTGTGCGCTAGAGTGCAGGGAGAGAGCGCTGGCTTGAGAGCTGCGCCAGGAAAGACAAGTGCTGGGCGCTGGCTAGCAGAGGAAGCCAGAGCTGCGCCAGCTTTGTTAGTAGTAGAAGGGTTAGTGGTAGGATGTCAGTGAGTAGCATTCAGAGTAGATTCTCGTAAGTTGGGAGTGTGCATGCATTATGGGACGAGAGAATCAGAACAGAGATCTTGAGAGAGAAGAGACAGAGAGGACAGGTCCTTAAGTTGGATATGTTGGAAACTTACCTGCTGGCGCCATACCTGTGATCTGGGGCATACGCTGGCTGAGCCAGGCCCTATGTTGGCGCTTGATTGAAGGAGACCTGTACTCTGCTGGCGCTGAACTCTTGAACTCGAGATACTCTTGGTATAATGCGATTTTGATAATATGAGCTGCGCTATCTGGTTCCAATCTCATCTCAACTTGGTTTTGTGTGAAGTTTCTCTATCTGTGTGATGACACCTATGCACGCAATGTGTAACACTCCAGCAAGCTGTGAACAGTCAGGTTCCTTGCGTTATCATTATTAAAATTATTATTGTCACAGTCCGTGCCTCACTGTCAATAACCTCTGCAGCGATGGTTGTTGGCATCACTTGGGGAAGTTCAGAAAAAAAAAAAAAAGAATTATGCAGGCCAACATACCAACTGGCCTAGCTCAGTTGGTACACCCCCTGAACTGTTGAAATACTCACACCCTAGTTCCCACTCCACGGGGGGGTGGGGTGGGGTCAAGTACGCATTTGGGCCTCTTCAGGCCCCTCAGGGCACATTCACCCCCCCCAGAATCTGCCTGGCAAACTGTAGGTCGCGTGATCGATTCTTGGGGATTGGACACACACACACACACACACACACACACAAGATTGGACACACACACACACACACACACACACACACACACACACACACACACACACACACACACACACAGGATTGGACACACACACACACACACACACACACACACACACACACACACACACACAGGATTGGACATACAGATCTGGATCTGGACTGCCCAGGGATTTCCAGATGCCGCTCACCACGCTACCTACGGTCTTCCCCCGAACATAACGCACCCTAAAAATGAATGCATACAAGGTATGCTTCCTGCCAGATACTGCCAAAATAAGGGTGCGTTGTGTTCGGGGGAAGACAGTAGCTTCGTGGAAACAACAGTCAATCATCATTGTCATCATTGTTGCCATTTACCATGAGTGTCACGGTTCATCAAATAAATAAA